ACCATCCACCCAGCACAGTGTTGGTGAGAGCCAACAACAACGTGGTGCGCACGGAGGGTTCGCCCACGCATTCCGATCGCCACGGTCCCGCACACGTGTGGCACCGCCGTCACCGCACACACACTGCAAGAGGAAATGCGCGCATAAACCCTAACACAAACACACACAGACACAAGTGGGAAGGGAATTCGGTGCAGCAACGGCCATACGCAAAACCCCAAATCATACACTCCACAACGGCGATGCATCACGGTAATTCCCACACAACAGAAAAAAGTGCAATTCGCATGCTTTATTGAAAATATCTGCGGTGTGCGTGGCGAAAGAGTGCTGTCACGCTGCCTTTCTTATTGCATTCGCCATTCACATATAACTTGGAGGCACGCAGCCACCACTCCTCCGTTCCGCTCTCCGTGCTGCTTGTGTCGCTTCACTGGAGGAAGTTGTCACCGCACATCCCCCTCACCGTGCATTGCGGAATACAAATCAACCATACGGCATGGGTGCGGTGCCGCCCCGCAAAAGAATTCCAGGATCTTCCCCACTGCCTCGTGTGGCGCAGACGGCAGTATCATGATGCCTGCAAAAGGCTTTTTATCCAAAAAGGAATGCGGTCCCACCACACGCCCGTAAAAACGTTTGGTCCGTCGCACACAAAGGAGTGGAGCGGGGGAACAGCAGGAAAGACAACACCGGCAGCCATGAGCAGCCCGCACACGCCAACACACCGCTGCCCCGCATATCATCAAGAATAATCTTTTGTCCCCCTGGCCGGATCCTGAAGTTCCCTATAGAAACCAAAATCAAGATGGGGAAGAGAATGTAATTGAGGGCAGTTAAATGCCCAAACGTTTTCTTCTAATAAAAAACATATTCTGTTAGCCACTATCATGACATACTGCACTCTATCCGAATAGGATATATATATATATATTTATTTATTTTATTACTTACGAGGTGGCAGACTTTGGGGCCCTCCAGCCACAAGACTCCGCCGCTCCCCTTCGCAAGTTCCAGCCATTTGCCAAGTCCTGAGGCGTAAAAAACACGACAGCGTGACATGCCGTCTTTGGGGTTGTCCGCAGACCGCACGTAGGCAGAGGATGCCTGTATTCCGCGAGAGTCAACAAACTCATATATCCGTTTTGGCTCCCACGCTATGGCGTGTGATTTTGTGCTGCCTTTATTCGCCGCTCCTTGAAACAGTATTTTTCACCCAAACGTCCATGGTGGATGGCAGGATGGCGGACAAGGCCGACAAGGCTAGGCGTACCGCGCAAGCATCGGCCTGCATGATAGAAAAGGCTTCTTCCCGAACCTTCCCCCGGGAATTTTAACGTCGCCTGATTGTGTAATAAAAACGGCTCCTCATCCATGGAGCGATGCATCCGCGATGATGGCAGCCGATGCCTTTTCTGTGGGCTTGTTGTTTCGCTTACGATTATTCTCGATCATTTGTCGTAATCTCTCGCCCAAACCAGCCTCTGACGGCGGAAGGTTCGCCGGGGATGTCTCCTGCACAATCCCCCGATTGAGTGCGGATAATCGTCGTCGCACTGCCTTGATGAAAACGTAGTTGTCATATAAACGCGTGCACAAAATGGCAGCCGCATACCAAAAGCGTGACGCCGTAACCTCCACTTCCGCGATGGTTAAAGAAATGAGCGCCGGCATGGCGCATGCAGACCGGACAAACTTGTCACTCAGGGATACCGCACGCCGAGTGTGATCAAACTGCACCCACAGGAAGGTGTAATGCGTAGCGCCCGATTCGCGGTCCTCCCCCATCGTGGCGTGACGGCCGTCCGCATTACGCAGCACTTGGGCCTCCCACAATGTCACATCGCTTTTCAACCCTGCAATGCGTATATCATCGATCCATACGTCGACACGCACCAATGGAGGTGCAGCCCAAAGGAAGTGAACCACCGTCGCCACCCCTGCAATTGCCGAAGTAATAATAATCTGGAGGATTTCTGGGCTGGCCTTGTACCCCATAGGGAGCCGTGTCAGCTCCACCAGCGTGCCGTCCTCCACGCGGCATCGAAAGATATGCCGATGCCTCCCGCGGTAAAGACTTGAAAAAAGGTTGTCTTTAAGTCCAGGCAGAAAGCGGCCTCAGCCATCACAGGCAGCAAATAATGGGAAATGTGTAAAGATGAACATTAGCCTCATAAGGGTCGTCTCTCTTCTTGTCGCGTGGCTACGCAATCCATCATCGTTTCAAGCCGGTGGTTTTCCCATCCACTACCAAAAAGCCGTTATCCATCCGCTTGTTGTTGCAGACGAAACGGTCTCGATTATTCCTGCTTCTTTCAATAATCGCGCGTCATCAACCCGAGTCCTCCGTGAGCTTTTGCCTAATGTAAAAAAGAACGGAGAAAAAGGGGACCGCCCGACAAGTCCCCATGCTTGCACGAGTCTCTCCAGGTAGCCGGTTGCACCCGGCTCATGATCCACTCCAGCTTCAATACGGGCACGTTGACTTGTTGCTGCAGCGGGATGGTTCGTGCATCTTGTGGAGTGGCCAGACGCGTCCTTGTCGCGCGTCTCGTAATTGTGACAGAATAATGGTAAAAATCATGGAAAAAGCTCCTCCGCTCTCAACCAGGGTTACTGCCCTTCCGCATTTTCTCCCTTCACATCAATGCGACCAGCGACGACACCTGGGTCAGCACTGTGGTGTACTTCCACAAATATCGAACAGTATTCTGGGGAAGTTCGAACGGGTCGCCGTGCCTCGCCAACTGCGAGATCACCGTGTGGATCCAAATTGTGCGTCTCCACAATTGGAGCAGCGTGCCGCCACGCGCCCTGTTTTATGGGATGCGCCGTGGCATTCCAAGGAGCCAGAGCTCGTTCCACCTGGGCAGTCGTCAGGTTCGTGAGCCTTCCGTTGTTTCAAAGTGCCATACAGAGCTTTATAGTGTCTAACGCGCCCAGCGCTCGCATCCCCACGAACCGCGAGGCGCAGTGGGGATCCGCCCTCGCCGTCTTCGGTGCCACGGGCCAATACAAAATTAAGTTCCCGTCCGGCTCCAGCGTGACATTTTTGGGAGTGAAGGCCACAATCGCGGACCAACAGCTCACCGTTGTCCACACAAGTCGAAAAACAACACGTTCCTTCCAATCGGTCCGGCTGTGGATAAATTGACCCATCCCTTCCTTTGTCAGGGGGCGTGCCTGTTTCGTCTCGATCGCGACGCTATTTTTTGTAGCCCCAGAATAATCATGCCAAGTGGGGTTCGATTCATTTCTAACATGGACCGCAGCATCCCGGCGTGCCGCGGTCGGGTCGATGGCGCTACATCTAATATTCTCATCAACAAGGCCGCATAACTCTCTTTGTTCATCGGCTGTTCGTGCGTGCGGCAAAAAAAAAAACGTTGAATATTTCCCGCTAGGGGCATTCTCTGCTTCCACTTCGGCGGCGCCCACATTTTCAAGCCACATCGTTCGCCCTCCTTGTGTGGCCGGCCCAAAGCGGAGATGTCGGTGTTCCGTCGTACCACAGTCGGGCGTCGTTGGCGGATAAGCTCCATTGCCATTCTCAACGATTGCGTCGGGCAATTTAAAATATCGGATGGAGCGTCGGCGGTGCGGTGCGAAGTCTCTGCGGATTGGTGGGAGGTGGTGGGGCTGCCGTATTCCTTGCTGCGAGCAATTCCTCCCGGCTACGCCGCGCACGTTGCATGTAGATGCGTCGTGTCCACAAATATGACACAATTGGCATCACAACAATCGCTGTTGTTGCGTGCAAATGCGGGCGGAAAATTAAGAAAGCGGGATGCTGGGCCCGCTTGTTATCATGGTCTGCATCCGGAATGCCTGCAGTAGGGCCCTGCCAAAATCCTTAAAACAATCTGTGGGATCCCGATCTATATCCAGTGCTCGTGTCCACGATAACGGACTGCCAAAGGCAAGTTGAGCCTGAGCATCCACCTGGTGCCAATAATAACTGTATGCGCTCAGAAGGTCGGCGATGACTACGGAGATGCCCTCATTCCATATGCGCGGGCCCAGGTAGCGACGCCGAACGCAATGAAATGCAGTACCTGATCCTCTGTACCGGAATGCGCATCCAAGGAGGTGCGGAAAGGCATATTCGTCAAGTGGAAAAGATGTGGTCTCCCCAAATTTGCCCTGGGACGCTTGGGTGCTAACCCGCCTCCTCCCTCCCGTAAGAATGCGTTGGGAAAACGTGGACACTGACACGCCCCCAGCCATCAAACGATGCGGTTAATGTGGCCGCGTAGTTGCGCCAGCTTCGGGCGTGCGTGGGGATTTATCTGGCGGCCCTCTCCAAGAGGTGGGCGCATCTCGCTGACACGGCATCTCCACGTCCCGCAAGCAGCCTGCGCTTCCAGGGCGCTGAAGCGTGCCGACAAGTTAGCATGCGCCTCTTCCACATTAGAGCAACACTGGGCACTCCAATGAAGGAGGTCCACAACGGCGTTGACGTGTTCGGTGCCCAAGCGCTTTCGCTCTGCCATGACAAGCCCCTTGTTGGACTCCCAACTCCCAAGCCGTCCCCACACGATGGGCAGGAGCATTTGGTTCTCGAAATTTGGTACTCGAGACGCCCAGAGATTCCCCAAGTGCCCCGCAACGGTAATATCCTCCCAGTGCTTGGCAATGGTCCCTGAAATCAATAGTAAGCCTGTCATGGTTGCGCCAACTGTCCGCGCCGCATCGGACGGCCCCTGGCCATAAGAGCGGGTAGGCTGCACCTGGATGTCGCCGTGCTGGGCGCCGATGTCGCCCTACTCCGACGCCGCGTGGGGAATCACGGTCATTTCTTTCAATCAACTTGCATGAATTCGGCGTGACTATAAAAATAATGGGAATAATTTCGGCCTGCCAGCATCGGTTCCTTGATCCCCCTAAAGTCGTGGTTTTCCAAACAGTCATAAAATAGGGGAAAGTGGCGTAAAGAAATGCAATCATTTTATCAGGGTATAATAATAATAATTAAGGCGACCAGCTTTCCCCTGCGATCACTCTCCTAACGAGCTCCTAAAGTTGTAAAAAAAATATAAAAGCATAAAGATGGCCCTATCCCTTCTTCCCAGAAAAAAGGAAAAGGACACAACAATTGGGGAAGCCATTTTGGTTCAATGCGCCCAAGATCCACACACACACGCCAAAAAGAGCATTCATCCAAGACCCACATAAACGTAAATAAATAAATTCATGAGTTGTATTTTATGGCGGCCAGGTGGGTCGAAACCTCCACAGGACGGCATTCTTTAAAAGTCCCCTGCAACCGCCGGAGTCCACTCTGCGCGGGGGAGTAGTAGTAGTAGTAGGTGGGCGGGATAAACAAAGGAAACTACCGTCAATACCGTGCAGCGTGCAGCACCATTGAAAACCAAATTAATTAATGCACAACGAAATGCCGTGGTCAAACACGACGCGCTACGAAATGCCTGACCCTATCTGAGCACACCTGCTTTCCGAATGCTTCTACGCATTCGCTGAGTTCAAAGAGAAACATAGGCCGCGCTAACAAATCCTTTGCCCATAACCACCGCTAAACAAAGCAGGGCGCGTCGATATGTTCTGAAGAAAGATTTCATCCATTCTCCCGCACACCTCCTTCCCACAACATCGCCACATTCTCTTCCTCTATTGCCTTCTTTTCATTTAAGGAGGGCAAAGTGGTTTAGTCAATATCCGAGAGCCTTTGTCGAGGGCGCTGAGGCAAGAACATCTCGCCGTTTAAAACCGTTGGTGTGTCAGGAGCGCCCTGCGGCATGTCACGAACATCCCGATTTCAACGGCTCTCCTGGAAGAAAGAATCGTTTCTGCTCGGCTGTCCATCGTCGTCGTGTCCGCCCTCAACTCCCTTCTCGCCACCGGAATGCGCTTCACTCCCCTGTTGCTCGTCATTTCTTTCCGTCGCCGCATCGCCGTGGGGCGAGTTGCTCGCCTAGCCATCCTCAGTCAACAGGAAAAAACACACGAAGCAAAAAATCATCAACGTAGAAAATAAAAAACACCCTAGGAGAACATACACCGGAATGAGGGCCGCATGGAGTGAAAAAACATCCCCAGCAGCACCGTGACGGGCACGGTCCAAGTCGTTTGGCCGCCTAGATACCATTGAAACCGATGCAAGGACAAGGCCAACAGCAATAATGAACGGGATAGATATGAAAAAAATATTGCAGCTGCCCGCAGAATTTCCTCGTAATTTGTGGATAAAAATTCGGTGCAAAATCGAGTCAAGAAGTGTCAGAACACCAAAGACGTAGAATGGCAGCGCCAAAATCACAAAGTAATTTGTCGCAATGACCTCGTCCACGCGACACGCAATAAGAGCGCTGAATACCACCACGGAAATCCCTTTAAGAATGCCCACAACAAAAAAACATTCACGTACGCCCACAGTTCGTCGTGTCCGCTA